AAACCCAAAACGCAGTTGTAGTGAGGACAGTACTATAAGACCGGCGGGCACAGGGTCAGAGGTTTGATAGGGAGGTGGCCGACCTCTGAGTGATTCATCCTTAACGGAGGGTGGCAGGGAGATGTCTGTTTTGGCGTGTGGCGCAGGAAGGGTGGGGAGGGGGGTTAGGTGGCTGCGGACGGAGATGGCAGGGAACAAGGGATGGGGATTAAAAGTGCACTCATTCTGAACTATTCCAGGGACAAGAATCCTGGTCCCAAGAGATCTGCGGGCGACTCAGCCAGTCCGTCATCTCTGGTTCGGACTTTTTAAAGGCTTGAGAGTGGGGTGTCTGAAACAACAGCTCTGGCCTCCTCCTCTTCAGCTGTTCAGACTCATTTAAAGAACAATACTTTTCTACCCTCATTTATCTGCTGCTCTTGGCTACGCTGCTATTTATGGGTAGGGTTTTTAGCAGACTGGAATCTGCTGCCTCTATTTCTCCACAGCTTTGTCTCTGAGGGGATCAGAGATGTTTAAGGCAGTCGATGGACACTGTGGGGGCAACTGCACTGTACACTATCGCCAGGACAAAGGTAGATAATGACCCAACTAGAGACTGGGCAAAACTTTAAACAATGTTGATTGGGATTTTGGAGCTTGCAGCTGGCTGTTTAAAGCTGTCAAGCCTCATCGTCCTGGATGTATCAGTGCCAATGAAATAGCTTCAGTACACCCAGTCTTGAAAAATGCAATCTCCTCTCTCCAAAAGGAAATTGAGGCCACTCAAGTTTCTTTTTATATAACCAAAATTTCTAATGACAAATTTGCCCCAACTGAAAAAAGAAAACACCCCCAAAAAACCTCTGCAAGAGGAAACGCAAAGAAGGAAATCTCAGTGAGAGCAACAAAGGAAGCTGACAAAAAAAAAAGAATGTGTTAGTTTCTATGTGCAAATCAAGTCTGATGTGATACAGACAGATCAATGGTCCTCTAGAGGATGACGGGTTTATTAAAACCTTGTGTCAGCTCTCATCAGGAAGGCTTCCAGGACCCAAAAAAAATGTTCCATTTCCTCTACATGGTCATGTCTGGGTCACCGGCAGACTCTGAAAGAGCAGAGCGAATAGAGAGGGTGGGAGTAACACCATATCGTAATGACAGACAAGACCGGATTAAAAGGGAATGTTGATGGACATGATGGTGCAGATGAGTGGCGTTATGGTGTGGAGAACGTGAGGGCGGGACCGGGGATGGGTTCAAATGCTGCGAGTGGTTGATTATGGACTTGAATTGTGGGTGGGGGGTTGGGGTGGGGGGGCAGGTCTGAGGGGTCCAAACTGGCCATTCCTTCAATCAGTCATCAAAGAGCCAACTACAGTCAGGTTATTATTTATCCTCTTACGGCCCAACCCTCGCTCAGTTCAATTGCATCATCCTTCACGACGAGCTTATGTCCGGCTCAGGACTCATCATCATTCCTCCACTGCGCTTCATCATCACGTCTTTCTCCGGCTGCATCACCCAGAACAATCCAGCGTGCCGACCCCCCCCCCCCCCCCCCAGCAACAATAGTATCTGTTCATAAACCTCAAATCTTCTCTTGCCCCCAGGATGGTAGAAACACGCATGCATCAGTAATACAATACCACTGTCAAAGTCACTTTGAGGATTCCTATGAACAAGCTGGCAGGCGAGCCATGAAGTGATGGAGCTCCCTGCAGAGAGGATCAACTAACTGCTCCTCTTGGTCAAAGACAATAAGAGTGCGAGCATGACACAAAAAAAACATAGAAACACATCATGGTTCAGTGATAGTCGATAAACGTCTGGATTTTTTTTCCTGAAAATCAATGCAGCAGAGTTGGTCTGTTTTGGATCTCATACCATTATTAGGAGGCTGGTACATGCTTTGATGTTACTGCTACAGGCAACATGCTAATCCCATCCTCACTCGCAACACTCCTACCTTTCTTTGTGGGCTCTGGCATCTTGAGCCGCGTCCCAAGAAAAGCGTCAAGGAGTCAAAAGGTGCAGGGAGGTAGATACCTTCAGGGAAGTGTGAGTCTATGGGAGTCCAGGTGAGGCGTGGGAGCCCTCTCAGTCCAGGAGGGAGAGATATGATGATAGGACAGTGGCAGAAAAAACCTCTGGGACCCGTTCAGACCAGAGTGATGGGAGATGAGGAGGGCACAGGGATACGGTTTGGAAATCTCCGTGGGGGAGGAGAGAGGACCAGTGACAGATCCAGGGGGGGACAGGCTTTCAGGCCTTATATAGAGAGGTGACATGCCCCTCCTCTCTGTAATAGACAGTGGATCTCTGTCTTACACCTACTGTAGCATCAATGTCCCCTACCCAACTACCCACCAAGTGACATCATTCATTTTCTTAGACCTTGGCTGTAAAACTGCTCCTTCATTTTAACTTAAAGGTTAAGACAATATTCTGAGTTTTAGTTATCGTCAACATCTCCCCTGAAAAGACCAAACCATGAATGTGATAGTCAGTTTTTCGTTACGACTTCCTCAGCCTGTGGACGGCGGTCTGCCTCCCCGGTGGGAGTGCCAACACAAAGAGTGAACCCTAGCTTAACTTTTGCTGCAACACAAGATCATCTGGGAAGGTGCCGTGGTGATGAATTATATGTAAACAAGCACATGTTCCAGTTGGATTATTTTACAACTTGTACCGTATGTTTCTACTCGTTACCTCACGATTGTTGCACAAATGGATAAAATAGTTGCCACCAAGAACTTCTCAGATTATTATAAACTGCTGCACAGTATTTCTGGCTTCAGATAAACCTTCACATACACAGCTCTATTACTTAAACTTGATATAAACACAGCTGTGTTTGGTCTGAATGCCTGCTAGGCTTATTAGCATCTACTGAAGATCTACTAAATCTTAAAAGTCATGAACATACGGTTTGATTTTTTTTTTTCTTTTAAAAGGCAAAATAATTTCCTTAAACAACTCTGCACTGTAGTTTCTAGCAAATGTCCCTCAAACATGAGTAAATAATGTATTGAGGGACTATTTGTGGCTGCAGATTTAGTGTGCTAGTATTTAAAGCTGCAGGACGGTGTGTGTGGGATCAACTCAAAATAAACTACAGTGCCCACGCTCATTGTAATCAAAGGAATGTGCCACCCAGGAGAAAATATTAATTGTATATTTGGAACAATAATACCTTTAAAAAAATTTACAATTGAGTTCCACAGATTTAAGATTTTGTAAAAATTTCCCAAAATGTCAATATTGTTATGGCAACCTGTTGTCTGTGAAATCACAGCGGCCTGTTTCAGCTAAGAATAGATTTGTTATCAGTATTTCCAGATTACTTCCAGGTCTTCTGGTGGGGCATCAGGCTCCTTATTGCACCACAGAAGTAGGTGAAGGAGACTGGAAAATCGGGTGATGGGATATAAAAGGAAAAGGTGTCGTCATTGTCACAGGTCTGAGGCTGATGTAATATTTTCCTGACAATCCCGTGTTGTGCTCAGATGATATACAACATATTCAGAGAATTTCTGGATTTATTATAAAAGAAAATCTGAGATGACATGCAGCAATGCCAGATGCCAGATATCAGTTTAATCCAGGGTAATGCTGTCCAAGAACAGCAGGCTTTCTGACTTGGCAAATAAACAGTGGGGAGATGCCTGGGCGGTGGTTATATGGCCTATTCTTAGAGAGCTGTCGTAAACCTTGACATTTGACATGTGTATCTGACATGAAAACAGGGTTTCATTGTGAATTGTCATCGAACTGCCTGCTTTGGGCCTCATCCATCTTCTTAGCACATCCAAAGCCACTGATAAATCAAGTGTGGCCTTTAATAAGGTTGTGAAGTTTAAACAGTTAGGCTGAAAGCTGCTGGATTCAGAGGCAACAAGTCTGGCCTTTTTAACCAAAAAGCCTCATCGCCTGTACAGTGCTAACGCTAATGCAGAGAATCTAACGATATCATTACTGCTTGAGCATGTTGATGGTCTCAGAGCGGAAGTGCACTTAAGAAATGGACAATTAATTCCTCAGAAAACCCAACAGGAAAGTCAAGGCAAGGCACAGCTCTATTTCTGGGCAATGGATCCTGTCTGTGAGCAGGAATGCAGCTTATTTCTGCTGTCAGTAATTTCCCATCATAGCATCACAGCATTAGAGTCACTCTAACTATAAAACAAGATCCATACCACGAGCTGGCAGATATCGTGTAACGTGGAAGCCTTCAATTAAGACCATGCCCTTTCTGTAAGAGACTGTTTTCATAATTTGGTTCGAAGTATGTGGCCTTTCTTGGTAACAGACACCCATAGCTCAGTTAGCCCATTTATAACTTAGAGTGGGCTCCAGCAGTAAATACTAGGCTTAGGGAAGTATCATGTGGGTCCGCTACAAAGAGCACAAAACCATTTGGTATTGCCTTGGACAGTCGAGAGTTCACATCACAGAGGCGATTTAGCCATGAGGTCAGGCCACTCAGGGAAAAAAAAAAAAAAAAAAAAGACACTGGAGGCCGTGGGATGGACTACACTGACACCCACTGGCTTCTAACAGCCATCAAACACTGTTACATTAAGGAAAACCCACATGCACATACACACCTGTCAACAGGTCAAGAGGCTGCACGACTCTTTTCTCTCGGGGGAAGACAGAACTTTTAAAGGATATATAGATTATTTTAAAGGATTTAAGAGCTTAAATGTTGTCAACTAAAAGCTAAAAATCTTGATATCACCAGGTGACAAGATTCAGCAGATTCACTGAGGGTTTCATTATTATTTTCACCAACTCTAATAACAGCACTTTAAACTGTAACTGTAAAATATCTTTTTCTTTATTTATGTTGTATTATTTACACCAGAAGCAGTCAAGAATAAAATGCAGTTTGTCACACAAGAATGGAAAAAATGCTTAAAATTAAAGTTCAGGTTCCTAGACATAAAAAACAGGTAAAAAGAGAACATATAGAATTTTATATGAGACGATACTAGTAACACAAAATCTAGTTCACACTAGAAATCTGCTCGATGACACTTCTGCAGTAACATCAGGGTGTCTCGGCTGAACTGGTAGGTGAGCTTCTTCTTCACCTTGAAGATCTCCCCGGACCTGGCGTAGTTCCTGAGGGCCCGGGACATCTTCTGATAAGTCATGGGCCTCTTGTTGCCCTTCCTCTGCCCCCAGAGTGCCGCCACCTGGTCCTTGTTCCTGGAGGAAAAACGGAAAACGCCGGCGGCCGCTGGCACCCAGGACACACAGTGGGCCATGTTCGGGTCCTCCAACATCTCAAAGAGGAAGTGAAAGAGACGCACTTTCCTACCTGCAGCCATTGAGAGAGCAGTAAGTGGCATGTAGGAAGAAGCGTTGACAGGGATTTGAAATAGGGTTTTAGGGAATGCCCCAGCGGCTGTGCAACACTAGAGCAGTTAGCGCTTCTTACAGTTAATCATTTCCTCAAATACAACAATTCCCCGAAAATCTCTTCACTAATGGGATGCCATTTAGTGGAGAGGCTGAAGCTGTAAACACTGTGGTTATCTGATAGATATGTAAAAACAGCTATTGAGCTAAGCCATGCACAGCTCGATGGGTTTTACAGTAAAGGGAAGGTCTCTTATTTGCTCTCTTGGTATTGTTTCCCTCAGGCTACTAGCAACCTTGGCAATAACAGTATCTAGTGACCAAAAAAAGGAGAACTCACCGTTCCCCGCCACTGTGGGCTTGTGTTTGGTTGACTCGTCGTGTCGTGTTGATACAAACTTTGGCACTGATACATGATCAGATAATGTCGCTGTTGTGTTTCGGCTGAGGGGTGGTGGGGCATATTGTGCCAGGAAGGGCTGAGGTGCAGGCTTGATGCTCTTTGATGAAGGAGTGAAACACATAAATGAAGGAGTGAAAGAACGTTAACAGAAAAGTGTGAGATTGCAGAATACGGAACAGACTTGGCCACAGATAAGTAGTTTTCTACACATATTATAGTAGTAGTATAAGAGTGGATAAAAAAGGACTAAATGAAACATTTCAGTGCTTACAGGTGGCTCATACCACGTCCAGCGCTGCTCACATGACGCTTCATCCACAGGTGCACTTCTTTCATCCACACCTGCAGCGCAGTACATCTTGTCCACTGGAAAAAGCAAAAAGTTTCTCAAAGACTTAGAGTCTAAGTATAAGAATTTAACTCCTGAGTCTTTCCTCTTACCATTTTCTCCAGTGCTTTGTCTGTAGTACTCCTCTAGGAACTCTAAGATCACCTCCAAATCAGACTGAGTCTCCTGGAAAGAATTCTGATAAAGATAAATGATTAAAAATCAGCCTTGAATGCTTGGTTGTTTCCCGTTGTTTTGCCCTTAAAAGATAATTTTCTAGGAAATTCTGATGTCGTCCTTGCTGAAAGTCTGATCTTTACCATCAGAGATGAGGCTGATTCTAATGCAGAGGAGTCCTTGCAGTTTGGGAGAATTTCACAAAACTGACTCTGAGACACTCAAGTGCCCAGACTCTTATTATACCCCCCACAGGAACGGGTCTTTCTGCATAACACCAGACGTTTTCTAGCCCGGGCTCACAGGAACAATGACCACCATCCCACAAAGCCCCAACACCAGCACCAGTCACAACCCATCAACAAAGCCTCCCAGCACTGACCACATCCTCCCCGCTGAACCAGATAAGACCTGGCCTGGAGGCAGCCTCTACACAAAGCGCTCTTTTCAGGAAAAACACACTTGCTGCCATATTTTTCCTCTCAGGATGTGTCTTAATTTCATATTTTGTAGTGTGCCTGTTGTAATATTTCACTACAATGTGCCAAAGCACTTTATATTTTTGTATGATAATGGCAGTGTGTTGTTGGACGAAGGGTATGAGTGCAGCAGAAATGTATCTTTATCAACTCAGTAAAACCAAACACACAAGAGAGCACACAGATTGATTTATTTTACACAGTAAGTAAATAAACATACATTTTCCCTATTATTTTCTCTAATACATTTATCAAGCGAATTATCACAATTTACATGTCATTACACAGAATGCTGATTACTGTTTGCTGCTGCTGGCTCCTGTTGTAGCCATAAAAATTATATTATATACATATACAGTAGATTATTATTATTATTATAAAATATAATTATTATTACCTCTTCCACAGCCATGTTTATGATTTTCATTTTATTTGAATTATTGCCAGTCAGTCTTGACTGTTCCCACTTCAGGAGAAACATATAAGATATTCTATAATATCATCAATTGCTCTGTAACATGACATTTAATTCTGCATGCTCTGCCAAAGACCTGCTGTAAGTCTTTGTATTTAAGGACCTGTTAACTGGTTCTTCAATCTTAATGAGACTCTTAATGAGTGCTTTATTGTGTGTGACAGGAGAGGTCAACTTGTTAAACTTTAAATATGTCAAAGGTGTAACCAGTGCCAGCATCGGCTGTATTTTGTTGGTTAAAGGTTCATTCATCTGTTGTAGTAAAGAAGTATTGGCATTTAATTTACAATACCCTACTCCTTCACAAAAATCAAATTATGAAATAATCTGACAAGTAATAAACCCAGAAAGTGTGACAGTAGAAATAAACAAGTCTCTGAGAACCCCCTGTTAAAACTCCCTGTCCTCACGTCTTCATTAGACTGACTTCCTTTTTTCAGCCTGTTAAACCTTCGACATGTTAAAACAGTTCAACACTGCTGACAATGTGTGTTGTTTTCTAAAGATGTCTAATCAAAATGATCCAAATCTTGTCAAGTTTTAGTTTGAATGAGGCAGTTTTTTATTTACATGCTTTCTATTAAAGAAAAGAGAAAAAGGAAGAAAAAAAAAAAAAAGATTCACTTACAGAATTCAAGTATTTCCACATTAATTTACAGTAATACTCCTCTACATGGAACACAAAATACCAAAACAAGGGGTATTTAACCACTTCTGAATGAAGTGATGTGAACACTTCACATGATGTTAATAGTCCCACTATAACATATTATTCTTCCCAGTGACCAAACCTCTGGCTCAGAGTTTGCTTGTGCTTTGTGAGGTGAAGCTGGAGGCCAGGTCGTAGTCCTCCTGCAGCTGGTAGTGTCCGTACCAGCTGTGCCAGTCCACCGCTGCAGAGCTGAAGTAGCTCTGCTCGGCCGGGTTCTGCTGCTGGGTGTGGGCCTCCTCCTGTGCAGGGCGGCAGGGCAGGTGCAGGGACACCTGCGTGGAGCCCAGCCTGTGCAGGATGTCTGGGTTGAACTGGTAGGTGAGTTTGCGGCGCACTTTAATAATCTCACCGGTGCGGCTGTAGTTTCTCAGAGCTCTTGCCATCTTCTGATATGTCATAGTCTTGCGGTTGCCTTTGCGCTGGCCCCAGCACTCAGCAAGCTTCTCCTTGTTCTTGGAGATGAAGTGGAAGGTTCCGCTGCCGCTGTCCGTCCACTGGATTGAGTCGCCCATGTTGGGGTCATTCAGAGCTTCATGGAGGTATTCATAAAGTCTGAGTTTCTTACGACCTGAGGGGATTGAATTGATTTTGTTTTAATGTTCATGCAATAAAAGAAAAACTCTCAAAACTCCCGGGAAATTCCTGAAATATGTTCTTACCTTTGCTGTTCCTCTGTGGTGGTAAGATGGAGTAGAAATGAGGGGATTCAGTTGGTATGGTGTGACCAAAGGAGACATCAGGGATGACCTGAGACCAGGACTGCTGCTGTAAGACACGTATTTTTAATCACAAAGACTCCTAATAATGAATCTCTGATACATACATCGTCTTATTGTCGTCTGTTCACTACTTACAGCTGTGTCATTCCAGTCATAGACAGGACACTGCAGAGATGGGTGCTGAGTGCCCAGAGTTTCACAATGTGTATACTCTGAAAGGAAAAATCACTATTGTTTAAGCACAAAATCTTGCACATAAAAACAATTAAAATAGAATAAATATAATATAAGTTCTGTGTTTGCTGTCATGTAGATTTCTGCTTTTACCTGATTCATAATATGAATTATTTGAATGCTGTTGAATCACATCGATTGCATCCTGGAAGTGTTGGTTGATGTCGTTTTCGAAGGATGCCTAGAATACACACACACAGGTAAAGAAACCTTAATATCACGCACAAAAACCTACAGTATAATAATGATAAAGAACACGAAGCTATAGGGGACTAAAAAGGTTCTTTTTCATCTTCCAAATATCTGTGAACATCATCAAAAGTAGGTTCCTGACAACTCACCATCTTGTATGTCTGAGTGTTTCCCTCAGATGAGGCTGTTTCTGTCCTAATAGGTGAAAGCTGCCACACTAATGCAGGTGTACAGTATTTGTACAGGTATATTTATGTGTTTCAAACCTCCAGTACCTGTTTACCATTCGTAGAGAGGCCGGACAGTCGATTTAAATGTGTTAACGTCACGATGCACTGCAGCCGTACACACTTCTTCTTTTTTGGAAGCACAGATCAGATACACCTGAGCATCACACTCTCTCTCATAGCGGAGATCACAATCTACAAACAACAAAAACTTCATTTATTGCACATTGACCCAGGAATACCACCAGTTCTCAGCCTGACCTAGGAATTTGCATACTGGGCGAGATAAATATCTAACAAACATCTGTAATCGCTGCTGTTCAGTAATACACTTTTCTGTAAGTTAAGATCTTTGCCTGAATTGCTGTGAGTTTTCACAAGTGGTCCTTTGTTTCCAGGCAATAAAGCAAAAATATATAAATGAATATTTGGATGAAAGGATGTGAGCCAGTGGCTGGGCTCCTATAGGAACCACAAACAATAGGTAACCACTAACTTACAATAAATCAATGGGACATCATGGTGATGAACAGTTTACTTTATATTCCACTTTGATCAAATGACAAAAAATATTTTGGTATTTTAGTCTTTCAGTTGAAAAAATATTTGTTTAATTGTAAATATTAAAACATTTATACATGCATATTTTCTTTTTACATTTTTTTATTCTGCAATTCAACCATTAAATTGCACAAAATATGAAAAAAACTAAGTAAAAAACTATGAAAATATTAAATGAAAAGCAAAATACAAAACATTTGGATTTTTCACTAAGCAACATAAACCCTCTCAGGTCTCTTAAACAACAAAACTTCCTCCTGTTGCCTTTTTTTCTTTCTTTATGAAACTTTCCTCTCACTCATAATCAATGAAGAGTTACACAGATGTTTGTTGGATCTATTTTTTCAAATTTGCTCTTCGATTTTTCGCCTGTGTTTGTGTGGATTTGAAGTTAAGTTTATTCTGTTGTTCTTAAAAGTTCTAGAAATTAAACATTTAAGTATAGCGTTAAATCAGGTTCTTTTCATAATAGTGTCATCAGATCCTCATGTTACTATTCTGCTGTCTGCAGCTGTATAAGGACTGACTCTGGAGCTGAAGTCAATTTAAATAAAAGTCGTGACTATTTGTGTTGCCAATTGAGCAGAACGTCATAAACAGCGCTTCAGACAAACTTGACTATAAAGGTTAATGGTTAATAATGTGTTGATCACTGTGGAAACAGCCCCCCCCCAAACAAACAAACACACACACACACACACACACACACACACACACACACACACAGAAAGCCAACCCCCCTGTTCAAATAAAAACAGGCTTTTTGAGAAGTTCATTTATCTCAGCCGTGCAGTTTTAAATATCAACTGACTTGCTCCTGAAGTTCCCCTTTCAGGCCTGTTAAAGTGTGACGGCAGTGAGGCCTGAGATGGAAGCATCATAGAAACAAAGACATGGAGATGCACAAATTATATCAGGGATAAAAGTTTCACCGTCAGATGACAGCTTGACTTACACGACTCCATTTAGCTGTGATGTGATTTGATTTGGCTCATTCAGTTGTTTGATTTTCACTCATCAGGAGTAAAGTTAGCAGTAAAGAAAAGAAAGAATAGACCTTATCATCACAGTGTGTGTGTGTGTGTGTGTGCGTGTGTGTGTGCGCGCGTGTGTGTGTGCGTGTGTGTGTGTGTGTGCGTGTGTGTGTGTGTGGGGGGGGGGGAAGTGGTCTGTTAGTGTGCAAGCATGCAAATATGCATGTGTGCATGTGTGTGTGTGTTTCCTGCCTGTGCTGCATGCTGATAAAAGACAAAGAACCACAAACCTCGTCCTCTCTCCCTCTTTCCATTCAGGGTGAAACTTCATAAATTAAAGACCGCAGCCTGTCGGGCTGCAGCTGAAGCCTGACAGCTGTGTGCTGGTGTTGACTCTGTGTGGGATCAGGGGCCTGTTGGTTTTTGGGGTCTTAACAAAGTTTTCATTTGTTGCGTGTGTTATATAATCAAATCAGTGGTGTTGGTTTTTGTCGCTATCTGATCCGTAGAGATCACTCACTGAACTCATCTGCAACAGATGAGTAATGTGGGATGTTGTACTGCAGTTGAATGCTATTCTATTCTATTCTATTCCATTCGTTTCTATTCTGTTTTATTGCATTCTGCTCTATCCTGTTGTGTTCTATTCTATTACAGTATGTTCTGTTCTGTGCTGCTCTGCTCTATTCTATTATGTTTTATTCTATTATTTTGTGTTCTATTGTATTTTATTTTATCCTGTTGTGTTTTATTCTATTCCATTCTGTTCTATTCTGTATCATCATGTTGCGTCCTATTTCATTCTTTCTTGTTGTTTTTCTATTCTATTTTATTCTGCTCTGTTATGCTCTGTTGAACTGTGTTTTATTCTATTCTGTTGTGTTCTATTCTATTTCATTCTCTATTTTGTTGTTTTTCATTCTAATCTAATCTATTCTGTTCTATTCTGTTTTTATCTTTTTCTGTTCTGTTCTATTCTATTTTATCCTGCTCTATCCTGTTGTGTTCTAATCTATTACAATGTATTTTATTCTATTCTGTTCTATTTTATTCTATTTGATATCATTTTTGAAGATTTTGGGGAAAACATTGAAAAAGTGATCAAACGAAAACCGAAATGTTGTTGTTGTTGTTTTTGTTGTTGTTGTTGTTGTTGTGTTTTTTTTATTCCTTTTAGATATTAATATCTATCTGTCCACATATTGGTTGTCACTTTCATGTAGATTTTTTGCTTGAAAAAAGTCGTTTAGGTTGTTTTTACCTTTGTGGTTTACACTGTGTTCTTTCTTCTCCTTTTCATTGTCTAGTTGTATTTGGTGCATACAATTTCCTTTGCAGAGATAAATAAACTTTTACTGTCTGATTTGAATTGATTTACAAATGTCATCACTGTGACATTATATTCACTGGTAATAATATTTCTACACTTCTGCTGTGTTTAGTGAATATTTAAGGATTATTATCTCACATTTGAACAAACTCTGACATTACATTGCCAATGTTACATTACCATTTGTTTTAGTATAATGCATTTGCTGCTGTTATCTGGATATTATAATGTTGGGTGTCAGTAAATCCATGTTTAATATGTGGTTAGGTGTGTTTAGGTGGGTGTGTTGGGAGTGAGGGCGTTGGTGAGGAAAAAGAGACACAGAGACAGATTCATGTTTATTGGTGAAGGTGGTACAGTATATTTTCTGGCGCAGCGGACAGCTTTATCTTTCCAAACAAAGAAGCATTTTCCTTCCCCTTCTCAATTCAATAGCTGCGTGCATGCTGGCACTGATGTGGGAACGGCTGCACAGTCAAACCCATTGTTCTTCTTTATTTACTGGCACTTGATGAAAATCAAGAAGTGTCGAGCCACTGGTGTATAATTAGTCTATCTGGCTGAATGCTGGTGCAACCGCAGAGTTATAATCATTATCTGTGAGATCATGTTCGTGTCCTGGGTGAGAAGAGTGGAAAAAAACTGGACATAGTTGGTAGAGACTCTGCAGCAATTAACATACATTTATTATCCCTTTAAGTATATTTTCAAAAAAATTTATTCAGGTTTTATTATATCAGCTCTTTTGCAGTGAAAATCAAATTGCTTTCATGTTTTTTTTTCATGTCTTCCTTGTTAATCCAGCAGGTCCCATTTATAAATCTTAATACAGTTTATACCTATTCTACCCACCATAGCAAAAATAACATAATGGATTACAACGTAAATTGTATTTTCTGGTTATCATGAAGAATTTATCTGTTGTTTCATAAAAAAAATATCCAACTTTTGATGCCAATCTGTGTTTTGGTTAAACAACTGTAACGTGAGCAGACGTCCTGTTGTCCTGTGGTTGATACTTGTCTCATGCCTTGTTGCTAAATGACTGTAATGGTGTTGACCGTCCAGCAGACGGCAGGACGGAGCATCAAACCAAACCATACTGTCTCACATCTCCCAAATTCCTGCCATAAGGAGAGGAGTCAGCTCTGTGTGTATTTAATGCACAGCTCACTGTAAACCACTGGAAAACAAAACTTATTTTTAACAAAACACTTTTTCCAATTGACTTTTTCTGTGAGCTTGTATCAGACCCTCTTGCTCTCCTGACATAAGGAGGTCAAAGGTTAGGGCTCATGTGACTTGAGCTGGAAGTGGTGTGTGTGCTGCTCAGGCACAGACGTATGTGGGTATCTAGCCCAGTGGTCTGTGCCTCCAGGGTAAAAACAGCACTGTGTTAAACCAACTCATACAGGAATGTAATGTATGACATATATGTCCATATATCAAGAGTGATGTTGCCATATATATCACCTATAAGGGGATATATTATTATCACATATATACATCCTCTGGATATATGAATATACAAGTTTATAAAATGTATGAAATACCCATAGTAAAATTTGTATATGTCCATATATTAAGGAATATCTAAATGATGAAGTTCTGCATAGAACACGTGTTGCGAGCATATTTTTCATTATTTCAAAATTATTATGTGTTATCATATATTTATTTATGCAAGCTCATTAAAACAACATACATATAAAAATGTAAATATAAATACATAAATGTATATATTTGTATGGGCTAGACATATGTGTCATTATATGAAATCATTCCAATTTCTATATAATTCAGATGAAATATAATTCAGATTAAATAATGGGGGCGTGTTGCTTCAGCCACTGACAGGACAGGAGAATACAATCCCTGAAGGCTGCTAGATGCTAAAACACTGCACAGAGGTTTATAATACAATGAGACAGGATTTCATGTTATCAGTCTTTCAGGAACGTGTGTGTGTGTGTACTTGATTGAGCCGCACTGTGGCAAAAGTTAAGCCAGTTTCAACCTTTTTTGCCAAGGTTTCTTACCCTGGCACCCGATCTGAAACCAATGCAGCAGTCACAATGAAAATAAATGAAGGTGTTGCAAAGGTGATTATCATGCCAGGAACTGAAAAGAAGACAAAATCTTTGCTTATTGGGAAATACTGGACTGTTTCTCCCTCTCCAGCTTCTCAAGCAGACACTGTGTCGCTTTAAAGTGGGTATAATCAGTACACTCATATTGACAATGGACCACATGGCTACTTGTGTGTGAAAGTGGTCGCTTGCAGTGATGATCATATCTGACTCTTCAGTTCCCCTCGGCTACAGCTACAGAGGTTTCAGGTGTCGTTGAACTCACTGTTTTGTTTTTTGCAGATCGCAGCTTTACTATTTCAGCTCACTCTCACCGCTGTCAGAGACGTTTTTGGCCACAAAAGGCAGTGAAAAATCTCTGTAAACACATTGTACGCTACCTGCCGAGCCCTAAGTGTCACACGGGAAGAGTTAGCAAGAAACTAGGTATCGGCTAAAGAGACAAATGTTTCATTTTGGCGTTACTATAGACAAAAACACAGGACTTATATTCATCTGGTGTCCAGAAGCTCGACTCCTAATGAATGATAATGTCATTTTGTGTCTTAATGGATGTGAAAATAAATAACTGTTTACTGACAGTTGCACCAATATCAACCTAAAGATGGTAATATGTAAGTATGGGCCCTCAAATGGCAAAAAACTAAATTAATGCAGGTTTTTAAAAGTCAACTGTACGCAGCACAGTTATATTGCATGCAGTGTGTAATGTGTGTGTGATCAGGTGGTTTTCATTATTCCCAGAGCTACAGTACACCTGATTTAAATCTGTAAAGCTGCATTTGGATGGCCACTTTGTTTTTTTAAATGTCATCCCACACGCACAGGAAGTTAGGAACAGTGTCTTTCAGTTGAGTATTCTAGCAGTGGCTTGGTAAACATGACACAGGTAAAAGAGGTAAAAGAGGAATTGGTGTCTAATTTCATTCTTGGTGTCGATTTCTGTTGAAGTAATGAGAGACACTATCACACAAAGAGACATCAAACAAACATTTCAAGTTTCAGGAGTCTTTAAAATTGTACCTTACATTGATTTTACATTCTCGATTTACATTTCACTGGCTACGTTTACTCAGAGATCTATTGAAAAGAGAGAAAAAACAAAGGCCATGAGCTCTGCTGTGAGCTGAGGTAGCACAAAAACGAATCCAAACAATCAAATTGATGTGTCTAATAGTAACTACAATACAAAGAGTGTCAGAGAGTAACATCCAGAATTCAGAGAGTGAAGTGGAATAATTCGTTTGGAATAGATTTAAAAACAGAGAAGACCTGTGTTTAAAGGGTGATTCAGGGCTGAAGGGGAGGTTTTTCTACTTTCTGCAGTAGGCCACAGCCCCGTACGCCACTACTCCAACAACGGCCACTAAAGCAGCCCCTCCACACAGCAGCTCTGTGGAGGTCAGAGGTTTGCCAGTCTTGGTAGCGGCGGGCTGTGGCTCCGGCTTTTCAGGTGCTGCCTGAGACTCTTTAACTGAATGTTCCTCCACATCTGAAAGAGGGATCTGTGAGAATTTTAGTTGCTCGAGACTCTCTGCTGGGGGCTCGGCTGCCATCGGCGCGAGGATAGACGGAGGGTGGAGCCCCTGAAGAGAATAGAGCTCCTCGGCTTCAGAGGTTGTGCTTGAAGGGACCGGGGTGGACGTCGTGGAGGGGGGATCAAACCTGACGATAGGCAGAGGAGGCAGAGCCATCGGGGGAACCACCTGCCTGAACTCTGCGGGCGCCTTCTTCACATACGGCTCCTCTGCTGACACCAGGAGCTCCTCAGTTTCTGGGGCCTGGAGGTCCTGCTCCTCCTCCCTGAGCTCCACCAGCTCCTTCTCCCCGCCTAAGACACTCAACACACTCGTCTGCAGCTCCTCATCTTCCTCCTCCTCTTCCTCTGTTCTCCTTGCCCTCTCATCCTCTGCGGCCTCCTTCTCCGCCTCCTCGAGCATCTCCACCTCCTCTCGCTCCAGGTGGACCATGTCAGAGTTGGAGGAGTGGTTCTCCTCCCCGGGCAGAACCACCCCGTCGCTGCTGTCGAGGCTCTTGGTGTCCTCGTGGTCCACGTCGCCCATCGTGGACCAGGACTCTGCCAGCAGGCTCTCGCTCTGCCAGGGCCCGGCGCTCTCTGCCTGGGTCAGAGGCAGGGCAGCAGGGCTGGGGCTGGAGGAAGTGGCCTCCCCGCCTCCTCCATCCCCCCTGCTGGACTCAACTGGGGCCTTTCCCTCCAGAATGACGGCCGGCTGCTGCAGAGACAAAACACATCAGAGGCGGGACAGACTCACATGAACCGCAGTAGTGGAATGTAACTTATTACATTAACTCAAGTCCTGTTCTTGCTAAGCATTAATTATAGGGTTCTCTCAGTTTACATGACTATTTCCATTTTTTGCTACTCAGTTCTTCTGCTCTGCCGCATTTCAGAGGGAAATATTGTACTTTTTATTCCACTACATTTATCTTACAGATATAGAGCAGTTACTTTGCAGATTAAAGATTTTTTTACACACAAAAAATATGATGAGTTGAAAATAAAATGTGAGGTATTGTAAGTTGGAAGTCTTTACATCTGTATATGATCATCTGGGATATCATCTGTTGTGTGTCTGCTGGTCTTAACTACCAAACACACTTGTGGTGCGACGGGACTGACCGCTTTCGACAGGTTAAAGTTCAAAGTTATAAGTAAGTAAGTCAGAAGATACAGGTGTTAAATGAATAGTTTTACATTTCTTAGTTAGATGAGAAGATTGACTCTCATCTCACTTTTGAAGAAATGAAATCCACACAGCATCACCTCTACAGCTGTGTGTCAGTCTTTCACTTTGTTTTTTTTTAAACAAACCAGATAATATTTTAATTAGTGACTTTAGAGCTGCTGTCGGGCAGATTTTGTTACTGTTTGGCAGCGCGGCTACATGGTTCCCTGTGTTTCCAGTCTGCTAAGCTAAGCTAACAGCTGCTGGCTGTAGCTGCATATTTAACCAATGATATGAGAGTGGTATCTTGGCAAGAAATCAAATAACCATATGTCCCTCAATGTCCAACTATTGCTTTAAAGATAAAGTCTCTTTTTGATTTTGTCAAATTGAGACTGAGACTAAACACCAGAGTCATTGCGTTTGGACTTTTGGCTTAAGTTCAACATTTGACAAAGTAGTATTATTCTTTTTTAAATTATAATATTGTTTAATATGAATTTAAAGCCACTATGTGAAGCATCTGAAAATGATGGCGTTGGTATCAAAACAGATGTCATGGCCGACAGCCGAAACATAGAGAAACATAATATTTCTCAATACAACAATAATTTTTCCACATCAATTTTTCTACAAACAACAGCTTGTGTTATTAGAATAATATGAAAAATTCTTGACATATTGGCTTTAATGAAATGACGTTGGCCAACACAGCTACATGGTCCACTGCTATTTTTCACCCGTCTGTGCTCGCACTGACATCAGTGACGCTGTGATTGGAAAAACTTGTTCACTGGCTTCTCTGTGTTACAGCGGCTGTGACTATCTATAGCCTCGACCTGCATAGTTTGCTATGTTTAGGCACTATATGCATCTCCATCTGTCACCCAAGAGTGGAAGCTATCTCAGTGATTTCACATGACGTGAGAATCAGGCGAAAGTAGGGACATGAAATGGAAGAGACAAATTATCAATTATGTCTGAAACATCAAGATTCCAGCAGTCGACCTCTGGTTTTTACCAAAACTGAGATATTATCATGTAATTCCAACAGTAAGCAATCCCAGTCTCTAAATAAACAATGCGTCGTGTGAAGAATGCCACTGTATAAATATCTGTTCGCCTGAATTCAACTCAGGAGTGTCTGCCTGTGTCAAGGTGACCCCCTGCACCCCCTTGTGCCACGTCTCAGCTTTGATTGCAGAAAGTATTCACCCCCCCCTGCCAGCCCCAGAATAGATATTCTCAACACTATCTCCTCACCGTCGAAAGTTGTATCACGCTCACGACATGTGGCCTGTCTGTGTTTTCTCTGGTTTCACATCACGTCTCTTAACGAGTACAAATCCCTTCACAGCTTCTGCGGGGCTTGAATGTCTGTTACATTTACACTCAACCTTACATGAAGCTGTGAATCCAAAATCTGATCGCTGTAAGCAAAACAAATAGTTGTAATTAGTGACAAATAGTAGCTGCGGCACGAGGTTAACGTCAGTGATCGGGAGGATTTGCCAGTTTGGTTCAATTATATTTGATTTTGCAAAAATAAATGAGGAGGAAAACGGATTCTACTGAAGAATGTGTGTTTACAAAAAAGCGTCCTGATGCTGGGGCACATGCTATGTTGTCCCAGTGTTCCCGGTGTAGGGGACACTGTCACACTCTTCTCTGAATTGGTCCATAAAAATTTGCATGGCACTGTTTACATTTACACCCATCAGCACAGGTAGAACATTTAAACTGAACATCCGGATCAGTGGAGTCGAGTCAGGAGCCACCAAGGGGTCACGAGAGGAATCTGAGGGGTCGAGATGTTTAACAAAAATAAATCGTTTTAGCTCCTGAGGCTAAAAATAATGAAAATTAAACAACATGAGAAGGTAAAAATCCCTGTTTGCTTGAAGTTCTCACAGTTCATAGTCATCTGGATCATTTTGAAAGGTCAAAAGTCAAACATGTTGGCGACCTCTGATCTAGATTATGTCTGGATAGGACTGGATTTGGATTAATTTTCTTTTCTTTAATTCCTTAACTTGGCCTAAACTAACCCTTTATGATTGGTCCCTACCTCATAAAATATAAACATAATATGTGAATAGTTCCTACAGACATCTATATAAAATATGTTTTCATAATGTAAGAATTTAGGGGAATAAAAGAGTGCAGTTTCTGTACTTTCACTCTTACTGATATGAGAACATGCCCTCACGTGCAAATCCATTCCAAGATTGAAACACAGCTTCTTTTGTGTTGCCTCACAGAGGAAAACAAACCCTCTTCCTGCCAGTTATGCAACAGTTTGGTAACACAACTTTCTGACTCTGAGACTAGCAGCTGGACAAAATAAAAAAAAAATGCTTATTAGGTCCTTGAATAAACATTTCCAGAACACAGTGGTGCTTTTCAGGAGCTAAATCACCTGATTATTAATGATCAAGTTTGTTTTTCATTGAACGTTAGGAGTCTGTTTAATCTATCTTTCTCTTCTTTATGATTTACTACAAAATATATTATAATTTGTGTTTTGCCTTTTTTCATTTCTTCCCTCTCTTTGATGATTCAAATCCGTGACGTTGTATCACTCCGCCCTTCTCCAGAGTGAGCAGACTGAGACAGACATCTCCCAGACGTCACTGATTTAATGACCAACTAGCTGCCATATTGTCTCTGTGGAGGCCTTCACAGACTTCAGTCCCACTCACAGATCTGCCACAAGCATAAAAGTTGGCCATAGAAACATTGGAAACCCTTCACACACACACACACACACACACACACTGTTTCTGTGTCCCAATCAACCTCCTCTATTCTGTGATCCTCCTTTACTTACTGGCCTACTTGAGTAATTGGATTCCCATTGATCCTATCCCAGAGATAACAGACTCATGGTGAAATAAATGATCAGTGAGATTCAGGGCGTTCTTTCTGTGCCTCTGTGTGATGAGGACAGAATGATATCAGATGCCAGAATTTACAAAAGGTCAGATTTCAATGTCAAAGCGAGAGAAGTGGTTGATAAGGCGAATCAGCTCCTCACGCCTGGGTCTCTGTCTTGTGCAAGGTGAGATTTTGCCCTTCACTACATCAGAGTGACCCATAATGACCCTTCTAACTCTGACTTGTTTACACATAATACACTCTTATCAAAGCATGGCACACAAAGGCCACAAATTCAAATCACATTCTTGATTTTTGTTTTTCTTTCAGCAATGTGAGATCTTCAGACTTTCTTGTGATTTCAAGCTTTGCTAAAACTTTCTGCAGTGTGAATAAAAAAAAAAAGGAAAACAACTTCCTGGCGTACCTGTGTCCTCTTGGTGAGGTGCTGAATGAGTTGTTAGATGAGAAGCAGATGCTGGAAATCAAAGTGAGACGTGTATTCAGACACGAAGCAACAAAATAACAGAGAGGCAGACATGCATGCTGGAGCTGGCACAGGAATAACAAGATGGACAAGCTGTGCAAAAGTCTCGCTCTCTCTCTCTCCCTCTCTCTCTCTCTCCCTCTCTCCCTTCACCCACCCCACCTCTCCTCAAATCCATGACATAACAGTTGGCTGGAGAGGAGTCAGTGGTGACTTTGCTGTCTGTCCAGAGTGAGAAACGCCATCAATAATGTAAGTAAATAGTGAAAAAGAAATAACTGTTTAACTCTTGAATGTTGAATCAGACTTTGACCCGTGTGTTCACAGTCTGTGAAGGGTCGACAGAGGTCAGTGGGTGAGTGTTTCACTCAGGTTAACAGTGTGTGGAGTTGTATGGTCACTGTCCAAACAGCAGATTATCAGTGAGCCCGCACTGTGCTCAGCATGAGTGGAAAATGCATGTCAGACTGGGAGAAGGGCTATTTCTAAAGCTGAACTTTCCAACTTCTAGTTCCCTCTGCTGGCAGGACGCATTACAAGACTGGAAACTATGCCAGGAGTCACTTGCACAGCACCAACAAATATATTGTATCTACACAGTTGAAATTCTCTTACTCCTGACATGCAGACATACCTTTACTAATCTACTGGCTCTTCTATTTTTTGAAATGATCAATATTGACTCACTATTAAAAACAACAACATATCATGGCCACTACTTTACTAAAGGAACATTTAGATGCTCAGTTCGTAAACATAAAATTGTCTTCAGCTACTCAATTGATATTTTTAAACTTCAAGTTTAAGTTTATTTGTTAGTTTAACTGTAAAAAAAATGCAGTTATAATAAAATACTTTATTTTTAACCACAATAGATCTGATAATATTAATGTATGATAATCATGATAAGAATGTAAAAATATTGCCTTCTTAGTTTCACACGTTTTAGTATAAAAAGCTGATCGGCTACATAAAATTTTTATCTCATATATTAGTAAATTCATAATAAGACTTGTAATGTAAGCAGATGTACTGTAAATTAAAACGGACAATGATCTTTTAAAGATAAAATAATTATCGTTTGATTTAAATGTTTACATACATACGTTTATATTTACTATAATTAAATAAAGCATTAAACTGAGAAACAATTCACTGAAATAAATAACTCACTAAATAAAAGAATGAATGAACATTTTCTTCGTTTACATTAAGGTAAACCCGTCTCTTGTTCTCGCACGTGATTGGCTGCTTCCCGGAAGTAAACATCATGTGACCTCGCAAATCAGCTGATCCCCGTAGACATCTTTACTAGTCACGACTGCGGCGATTAATTCAAACCTCCTCTTCTGTGATTCTCCGGTAAATAAATATCGATTTAAAGCTCGCCTTGCAGGATTAAAATTTTATTTTTATTCACGGCGGCCTCCTTCATCTGTCAGTGCGTTTGATTTGACTGTTCTCTTGCGTTTTTCTGTGACAGGCCCGGGCGGATCTCTGACAACTGCAGCCATGGCGCTCAGCGATGCCGATGTACAGAAGCAGGTAATGAACCGTTTTAACCTTCAAAATGACACCAATCAACCATTTATCTAAAGCTACTGTTGAAGGGCTTTACGCGCTGTTATGTGTCTCATTACAACGCTGAGAAATGTTTCTGCTCGCTTTAGTTTTAGTTGGAAATGTGTGAGTCGAGGAAAATGACATTGAGAGAGCTGCAGTGGGTTAGCATTGAGTTAAACACAAACATCAGCTGTTAAAGCACGTTTGTCTGGTGTTTTATGAATTATTGGGTGATAGTTATATATCAACACAAGCAGCCATTTTGTAGCCGGTGTTGTGTGGCAGTTTCAGCTGATATGCAGAGGGTCATATTTCCAAATGATCACATGATGAACACATGCTAGGGCCTTGATGAGGAACTTGGAGAGAGTGAGACACAGTCTGGACTCAGTCAATGGACTCAGTCTGGACTCAGCCTTTGCTGAAAATGAGCTTCACGAGCGCTAATGTGAAGCTACAGGAGTCAATGCTGCTTAAATTTCACACTGATGTGACGCAAAGCGGACAAAAACATTTCTCACCATAGTGATAGAAACAGTTGCTTCACAGCAGGGCGACAAAACCCTTCTTTAGTTATGAGGAAGCTGACATCAAGCAGTATCCTTGGTCCACACTTAACAAGCCATAATGTTCATGTATTTCCATTTCAGTCACAGAGATAAGCATCCAAATGTCATGTCTCCAGCAGTCTCTGAAAAACCTGGAAGGGTGTTAAACAAAACTCTCTGTTGTTTTGAAAGTATTCTCAAAGACTCTCCTAACCATCAGGATAAAAAATATTCTTTATGTTGTATAATAAAAACTTTATTTAAATTGATTTTTTTCCCAACTCAAAGATAGTAGCTGGAAATGACGTGTCTTCACACAGTTTGTACAACATGAACCAAAACTGATATATATATATATTGATGATTATTTCATATTTTTAAAGTGTAAATATTTTTGCGTGTGTTTTACAAAAAAGAGCAAGAACATATGCAACTTACAGCTTTGTGGATCAGGAAGTAAAGTCGCAACTTGTGAAGTGGGTTAAAAATGTTTTTTATTGCGCAACATCCAGAATGTTTTTTCATCCAGAATGAGTCTTGAGTCTTTGAGGATCCTGGAAACTCCTTCAGATCAGCAGTAATGACCTAATGTTTTTTTGTTTTTTTACAGATCGCTGTGTATTTTGATTTTCAGAGAATCAAATGTTTTATACTGTGACTGGAATGTATCAGTAATGCATGAGAGGCACACACTGGGGCTAAAGCCTGAGAGAACTTATGGTGGAATCAACATTTTATTTTATTTTTTAAGTGATCCTAACTCGTTTCTTTTTTGTGTTCACAGATCAAACACATGATGGCCTTCATCGAGCAGGAGGCCAACGAGAAGGCAGAGGAAATTGATGCAAAGGTATAAAGACATGTACACATCAACACACAGTGCTGTAGACAGAGACTTTAATGGATGATCAATCAGTGTTTTTTAATGCGTTTTTAGACATTTTTATGCCTGTATGAGTCAACAGTGGACAGATGAAGTCATGCAACAAGTCACCAGCCCAACCTGGAAAATCAGGCCTATAATGTAGCAGTTCTGTCCTTTTCAAAGTTTATTGTAGTGCCCCCATCAGACCAGGCAGTGTAGTGAGTGTTAGTACACAGTGCCAAAATGTAGTTGCTTATTCATTGTTATTTTAACAGGTAATGTTATTGACATGTGTTGTTCAAGAGAAACCAGGGCACAAGAATATGCAGACTAAACATAAACTAACATGGAGCAGTTCACAGCAGCTCACAGTTTAACATACACAATAAATCCACATTAAAGAAAACACTTTCATGTGTATAATGTTAAAAATAATACACCAGTTCTCACCACCAAAGAGACTTTTAATGTCCCAGACATGCCACTAGGGGGCGCTGAACGCACAGCAAGTGCAGATATGAAGGAGTCCGTTGGCAGACTTCACAAAATCTAAGCCTTTATGAACTTCAGGTGATTATTTTACATCTGACAAATAATTTCTGTTTTTAGAAATTTGTCTTTTACCTGAACTTATAAGCGCCGTCAGTGTGTCACATTCAAGTCAGTTCAACTAACTGCTGTGGAGGCTGGGGGTGTGTTTAGATGAGGCTGACAATCATGTGGCCGTCTTCGATGATGGAGTTTGAGGGAATTATGACACAGCAGTTGTAACACATGGGTATATTGGATAATGAGTTACATCCTTCTTTTATGTTATAGTACTGGGATTGGTTTTGTCAGTTTAATTATGAAATCTAATCTGTTTGATTACATTTTAATTAAGATTTGTTGATTTTAATTTTCAGCCTTTCAACTTGATTTTTGAAAAGTGCTCTCTATAAAATAAGAGACAATTATTATAAAAATGTCATTTTTAGATGTCCAAACACAGAGCCAAATATGTCCTAGCATCAATCGCTGGTATTTATTTTCATGGCTAAAACAACTGATTAATTGATCACTCAGCCAACAGATTTCTGCAACAGTTTTGATTATCAGTTAATTGTTTAAGTCATTTATCAAGCAAGAAATGTCAAAATCTGCTGGTTCATTGTATCATTGAATATTTAACATAGATATAACTAAGTGTTACAAAACAAGCAATTTGAAGACGCCTTGGGCTCTTTAAAATTTTAGGCTTTTTTTTCACTATTTTCTCTCATGTTACAGAAAAATTAATCGTAAAAGCATTTTACAGGTTAATTGATGAGGAAAATAATTGTTAGTTGCAGCCTTAGTTATTTTTAAATACAGTTGGAATTGTGACATATTTATAGATTAACAGTCATTAACATCATAGCATGACAATCAGTGTTGATATTTTCAGTGCCGCAGCTGAGTTTCAGGATAGATTCTCCCTCCGTGTTCTATGAAAAATGTGTCTATGAATATTATAGATTAAACCTTTCTAAACTGACCTTTAATATACGGCGCCCCTGCTCAGTGCCGTTTAAAATTACTACTAGTGAAAAATGCCGTTCTCACAGAGGATTTCTGCTTCCTGTGAGTGAACTGTGTCTCCTCCTGCAGGCGGAAGAAGAGTTCAACATTGAGAAGGGCCGCCTGGTCCAGACTCAGAGGCTGAAGATAATGGAGTACTACGAGAAGAAAGAGAAGCAGATTGAGCAGCAGAAGAAAATGTGAGTCATGGCGAGACATCACAGGACACATCAAGTCCTCTCTTCCTCAATTCGGCCCTTTTTAAGAACAAAGAAATAGCTGTACGTGTGACACTGAGTTTCTGTAATTTTATTTAGTAGCTTCGTTCTACAATGACTCTTTTGTGACCTGCTCCAAACCGTCTCCACGGTTTCCGCTTGGACAAACATAGCCCACTTAGAAATCTAAACCTGACCCTATGTGTGTGTTGTTTGTCTTCTCAACAGTCAAATGTCTAACCTGATGAACCAGGCTCGGCTGAAGGTGCTGAAAGCCCGCGATGACATGATCTCAGTAAGCCGCTCGACATCGTCCTGCCAACATACTATCATATTTAGTGTGCACAAGGAGATCGATAAGTAAATATGCTGTGTATTTGCACTCTCAGGAAATGTTGAATGAGGCCCGCCAGCGGCTCGCTAACGTTGCAAAGGACGCAGCCAAGTATCCAGCCCTGTTGGACGGATTGATCTTACAGGTTTGTTGGAACTCTCGGCTAATACACATACTCAGATATCAGTTTGGCAACCGATTATGTGTCTATGAAGAGACTGTGACTTTGTTTAAAGACTGAGGTTTTACACCCTTTTACAATCCTTTATGTCAGGGATTCTATCAGCTCCTGGAGACCAAAGTGACCATTCGCTGCCGTAAACAGGACGTGCAGTTGGTACAGGTGAGTAGATTAGTGAGTGCGTGATTTGCAGTGTTCACCAAACCAAATGAGGCACAGTCCAGTCTGCAGTTAAAGTGCGACAAAGCTCAGTCCACCTGACATAAGCAACACAAGGTTACAGGTGCATGAAATAAGACGAGAGTGTGTGTGAGAAGAGCATGTCGGGTGACTGAATTCACAGGTGGTAACAGGTTACCTTCTATTTATTCAAACTGTTTTTCATCGACAGGCGTCCATCCAGAGGAACATCCCCATATATAAAGCAGCTGTGAAGAACAACCTGGAGGTCCGCATCGACCAGGACACCTTCCTCTCCCCAGACATGTGAGCACCATCGCGTTTGAAACATAAATCGAAAGTCACAGAGTCAAACTTAACTCCTGCAAATTAAGTGTGTTTTTGTTTTGATGTCTTTTTTTATTTATTTATTTTTCTGCCTGCAGTTCTGGGGGGATTGAGCTCTATAATGGCAATGGGAAGATCAAGGTGGCCAACACCCTGGAGAGCAGACTGGACCTCATGGCTCAGCAGGTAAGAAACAGAGATAGTTTGAATCCTCCTTTTTAAATGTCAATAAAATAGTAGAGTGCAGCTGTTACAATCCATTTGACAGAAATAAGATCAGTGTAGCGTTCATGTGAGGAGCTGCAGGCGACATCAGGATTTTATTCATTATTTTTGAATGTTTTATTTTGAATGTTTTCCATCTTGCTTTTGTCTTTTACTGTGAAGCACTTTGCTGTCTGATCTAGACACACGTAACATAAATAAACTACTTACTTACTTAGACATATATATTATCAACGATTATATTTTTACAGAATACACTTAACTCAACAGGACACTAAGTAAACACAGTGTAACAAGTGCACACACTAAAATAAAGATGGACAATGTAGAGGATTATATATATATATATATATAGAATAGGAATCACAATAAGTCACATCTCTGTACATACACTGCACATCTATGGTGAGTAACAGAGATGTTCAAACGGGTGTTTTCAGGTCGTCTCATAGTTTTTAGATTGGTCTTTATTTTAATTTTATTGGGTTTTACTGCTCTAAGGCTTAGGCTACCACTTCTAGATGGTGATCTCATGTATTATGGCAGTTTAATTAATCATATTACAATCACATTTTGTTTAATACTGATCTTGTGACCTATGTTGTGTGTCTTCTTTGTTTGTTTGGCACGTTTTTATCATAATGAGGCTTTCCTGGTTGAATAAAGGTCAAATAAACACATAAATGACTTTTAGATTAGCAAACTATTATTGGTCTGAAATTGAATTAGCATGAAGTGCAGCTCTTAATAAACATTCAATTAACAAAATGAGATTAGTGCAGCTCTCATGTTACCTGAACTTTAGACCTTCCATGTGAGGTAAGTGACACCACTTGTCATATGATGGATTGACGGATGTCTTTAAATTGGTTTTTATATATATACACACACACACACACACATATAACCTTTATTTACACTCAGAAGAATGTAATGGAGAAAGTGAGCCCTCTTCAACATATAAAAAAAACCAACCAACAAAGAAGTAACAATATGATACAACAGTATACAAGTAAAAAAACTGTAATAAAGTGATGATTAGCAATAATTATTGTCGTTGATGGTTTTTCAGTCTCTGATTTGAAGAACCACTTTAGCTTGTTTTAGGATATGATATTTTATTAATCTTATTTAAAATCAAATTTGTTTAATTGCGATCTTGTGACATATTGATAATCTTGAAAATTAAAGATTTTCTTTTTTTTTAACCTATTTTCACCTAAGTTTTTTCTCTCTAAACAAAGTTCCAACAAATTGATGAAATTACTGTGAGTTGAATGATCTCGTCTCCTGCAAAATGTTCATGACTTTACACTTAATTCTGCAGTTTGTACCTAAATAAATAGAACTGTTACTATTGATGTTTTTGATAATCAATTAGTGGTTGAAGTAATTTTCCAAGCAAAAACATTCCCTAGTTCCTGCTTCTCAACTGTAAGTATTTGTAAACTGAATATCTTTGTTGGTCAAACAAAACAAACCATTTGAATATGTCGCCTCGAGTTTTAGGAAATTGATAGGAGCATTTTTTATTCCATGTGGCATTTAATTTTCTAATTATTTACAGACCAAGCAATTAAACAAGAAAATAATTGTCATATAAATGGATAGTGAAAAGAATTGTTTGTGTGTTTGCAGATGATGCCTGAAATCCGAGTGGCTCTCTTCGGTGCCAACCCAAACCGCAAGTTTATGGACTGAGTGGCTCTGCTGTATTAGAGATAAAAACTCCCCTTTTATTTTTTATGTTGTCATATGAAAGACGTCATTCCTCTTGTCTGTGAAGCGAAATTTCCGATGCAAAAAGAGACGCATTGTTATCATTGTGTGATGTATTGTTGTATTTTTTCTGTGCATTAAGGGACATGATAAGACGCTGCAGCTCAACATTGGAGATGTGCATCGTGGGTACTGCACAGCTGTAATGACCGGTTTACTCTGCTGCTCCCCCCCCCCCTTTTGAGGGTCTCGGTTTACACTTATTAGTCAGGGAGGACGGGATCGGGTGATTGGCTGGATGTTTTAACAGGTGGTCCTCTAATTGGATCAGTCTTCATGACAAACACACCGTATCCATGTCAAAGTTTTCCCTGTTTCATTAACCTCTACCCCGCATTATGAGTTGCATGGGGTATTGTGTTGATAATGGATGTCTGCTCCAACCAATCACAGAGGAAAAAAAAATAGTATCCTAGTAACAAAACTGAAGACCGTACATGACCTTACAGAGTTAATTTATTGATGTTACATCGACTGTATGTTGTTATTCTGTCATGAATTAAAGGAGTGGGTGATATCATTCCAGAGGGTGCACTGTATGTATATGAGGTTTCCAGATTAAATTATATGTATGTGTGGTTGTTGTTTTCTCTTTGTTGTTTTCTCTTTTTTTTTTGATTGTGTCTCAAACTGAAAATGTTATATTGTGGAAATGTAAAACATAATAAAATATAAATCATTAGTATCACTTCTCCGCTCTTTTTTTGACTCGGACAGTGTCCTCAGTGCTGAGCGACGTACAGTCTCTACATTTCTTTTGCAACACTGGCCATTCATGCTTCCTTCATTAGTTTATCACATGGTATTTGTCAGACAAAAATGCCCCAATTATCCAGTTGCTCAGAGCATTTTGCTGACATGCTAGTCTGATAGCGGAGTTTCTTGGGGAAAACAAGCAGAGCATTTTGGGAAACGGCTGAGCCTGACACACAGAGAGAGCTCCTTCTTACTTGTGAGTTTTTTCATGATTTAAAGTTTCTAGATTTGGCTGTAAGTTGTTAAAGTTACTATTAATGTTCATAGTTCATAGTTCATAGTTCATAGTTAGTCACTTTTCCTCCACTCCTTTCTCGGGCTCATCTGATTTAGGAAGTGAAGCAGTCATGGTCATCTAGTGAATGGACTCTGTCAGCACCGTAATGCAAGCTGAGCAGCGTGTTATCATGTTGATTACCTTAAAACAAGTTTGTCAAAGTTATTAACAGGCTACACCACAAAAACTACATGATCTCTCTTGCGATGCAGAGTGACTTTAATGTCAAGGGTTTATGGTTCTCACAGAGGATTTCTTTAAAAAATTTTTACAGCACCAAATCCAACAACCCTGCTCACTGTGGAGGGTGTGATCATGTTCTAGGAGGAGTACAGCACCCTCTGGTGGCACACAAGGACATGGTGATCTCAATCTGCAAGGCTGTGGTCACTTATGTGCCGCTTCTGTGGATTGTGAGGGTGACTGATGGGATGCCAGACCCTTCTCAGAGGGACCTGCTGATGCGCCAGGAGGCGTCCAGACAGACCGGAGGCCGAGTGGCGCTGACAGCAGCCGAGCAGAAGCTGGATTCTTACCTCCATCGGCTGAAGGAGCAAGAGATGTCTGCTGCCCAGTTCCCACCTGCTATCCACTTCTTCAAGGCAAAGCCTCTCATTCAGAAGAGTTCGATCTTCAAACTGCTGCAGAAGATGCCTAAAGGTGATGTCACAGCCATGGATGCAGGTCTAAAAACCAAATCCAATCCAGTATTTGTTTCTGTTATATTACAGCTGCAGTTTTAAAACAACAAATTTTAAATTTGCTTTTAGAAAATAGAACTTGCATCTCAGGCTTTCTTTATAATAATAATAATATGATAATAATCTTCATCTTCATCCACAAATGTGGACAATGATTGTAGCTCTCAAACAATAAATACAATAATAAAATTAGTACAACACAGACAACAATAACGGACATAATTTCAGTGTGAATGATGCTTACGAGTTCAACAAAGTTATTTCTGTAAATGTTCTTGCTTGTTATTGCGGCTCTATAGCATCTTCCTGAGGGCAGTTTTGTGAATAATTTAAAAAAGGGGATGAACAAGAAAATAGGGGATTTAATGGTTTCACATGATTAAGTGTATATTTTGCTGTAGAATTTTGTAGAATCTGTGCAGAGGTTTTTTAATGAAGTTCAAGTGCATTTTTTAACCAACAGCAGCACCTGAGAGTTCTGATTCACCCGTTAAATGTCCCTGAAAGCTACAAAACTACAAAGGGAAGGATTAGGGTTAGGGTTAGGGTTAGGACCTACAAAAGGATTAAAAAGAGACACAAAAGGACTACAGAAGTGCAAAACAAGGACAAAAATGGATGCAAAATAACAACAATGAAATGTATAATGACTAAAAAGACACGCAAAACAACTACAAAGACACAAAACAACTACAAAGCCACAAATTGACTACAAAAAGAAAGAAATTGACTATAAAGAGGCACAAAATAACCAGAAAGTTATGCAAAAAAGACTATAAGGACACAAAATGACCTTGAATAGATGCAAAAAGACTCACTGATGAAAAGACCATTGATGTCTCATAATCCATCAATGGTCACAGCACTCAGTAACCAGTATGTAGTTCATCAGGTCTGTGTTTGACGTTATGTTGCCGTCTTGTTGGTAGGTGCAGCGCTCCACATCCACAGCTCGTCTCTGGTCAGCGTTGAGTGGCTGGTGAAAAACGTCACCTACAGGCCTCACTGCTACATCTGCTTCACGTGGGACAACTCGGTCCGCTTCCTGTTCTCCGACCGCCAGCCGTTCCCACGATGGGACTGCTTCTACTGGCAGCTGCTTCAGACTCTTAGAGCCAAAATAGGAGACCCTGCAGGCTTTGATAACAGGTTGAATAAGATATCACCTTCTCTCACACATTCCAGGTCATGAGGTAACAGGAGATTTTAACCCAATACTTGGTGTTTGGGGTCTTTTTCAGTTTAATGCAGCACCTCACTCTGTTCACTGAGGATCCAGATGGTGAGTACCCAAACCAAGATGTTGTGTGGGAGAAGTTTGAGAAAGCCTTCATTGCAGCTGCAGGGCTAATCACCCACGCTCCTGTCCTGAGGGACTACTTCTACAAGGGCCTGGAGGAGCTTCACCAAGACAACATCATGTATCTGGAACTGCGGAGTGGCCTCTCAAGGGTTTGTGTTTGCTTGTTTGTTCACACCTGATCGCCACAGCTCCAGCCCCTCTTAAAGAATGACAGTAGGAGAATCAGTAGTGGCAGTAGAGCTGACATTTCTGCATTGTGGACTGTGACGGTAAATCAAAAATATATAATGTTTTCAAATCTAAGCAAATCTTTACTATGTTGCAGACATATGAGCTTGATGGAACCATTCATGATAAGGTCTGGACTCTGAAAACATTTCAAGAAGTTACAAAGAAATTTATAACAGATCATCCAGACTTTCTCGGGACACGCATCATAATTTCTGTCAACAGGTAAGAACAAGAGTGTAGGTTTGGTCTCAAAATTGATAGGGATGCAACAACCCACCCAAAAACATCAATCTTGATATAGGGAGATAGATGTCATATATGTGATAAATCATAGTAAACTGAGGCATAAAAACGTCAAAGTACAGTAAACTATAAAATCTCAAAAAAAGGACATAGTATAGTAAAGCATAAAAATCACAAAAGCCTCATAATATAATAAGGCATAAAGAGGTCATAGTGTAGTAAGGCATGAAATGTTTTAAAAATGTAATAGTATAGTAAAGCATAAACACGTCATTGTGCAGTATTGCATTAAAATGTCATAAAAATGACATAGCATAGTAAGGCAAAAAATGTCATAAAAACATCATAATATACTAAGGCATAAAATATCATAAAAATGTCATAGTATAGGAAGGCAAAAAATGTTGTAAAAATATCATAGTATAGTTAGGCCTAAAATGTCATAAAAATATCATAATATAATAAGGCAAATAATGTCATAAAAACGTCATAGTATAGTAAGGCATAAAAACGTCATAGTATAGTAAGGTAAAAAATTTCAAAACAACGTCATAGTATAGTAAGGCATAAAATGTTGTAAAAACATCATAGTATAGTAAGGCAAAAAATGTCAACATTTTTTTATAGTATACTGAGGCAAAAATGTCATGAAAATATCATGGTATGTTAAGGCATAAAATATCATAAAAATGTCATAGTATACTAAGACATAAAGATGTCATAGTATAGTAAGGCTAAAAATGTCAAAAAAATGTAATAGTATTGTAAGCCATTAAAATGTCATAATAAAGTAAGGCAAAAATTGTCATAAACACGTCATAATATAGTAACGCATAAAATGTCATAAAAATGTCATAGTATAGTACGGCATAAAATGTCAAAAAAATATCATAGTAAAGTAGTAAAAACTTCAAAGTACAATAAGGCAAAAAAAATTATAAAAACCTCATAGTATAGTAAGGTATAAACATGTCATAGTATAGTTGGGAAAAAAATATTTAAAAAACGTCATAGTATAGTAAGGCAAAGAACATCATAGTATAGTAAGGCAAAAAATGTTATAAAAACATCATAGTATAGTGAGGCATAAAATGTCATAAAAATGTAATTGTATAGTAAGGCAAAAAATATTTAAAAAATGTCATAGTATAGTGAGGCATAAAAACGTCATAGTGTAGGAAACCAAAGAATGTTATAAAAACGTCATAGTATAGTAAGGCATAAAAAAATTCATAGTACAGTATGGCATAAAAATGTAATAGTATAATAAGGCATAAAACGTTGTGGAAATGTCATAGTATTGTAAGCCATAAAAATGTCATAGTATAGTAAGGCAAAAAATGTTATAAAAATATCATAGTATAGTAAGGCATAAAATGTCATAAAAATGTCATAGTGTAGCATGGCTTCAAATGTCATAAAAACGTCATAGTATAATAAGGCAAAATGTCATAAACACGTCATAATATAGTAAGGCATAAAAACGTCATAGTATAGTAGGGCATAAAATGTAAAATAAAATGTCATAGTATAGTATGGCATAAAATGTCATAAAAACGTCATTGTATATTGAGTCATATGAACTTCAAAGTACAATTAGGCAAAAAATTTTATAAAAACTATACTAGTATAGTAAGGCATAAACACATCATGGTATAGTAAGGCAAAAAATGTAAAAAAAAAAATTTCATAGAATAGGAAGGCATAAAAACGTGATAGTGTAGTAAGGCAAAAAATGTTATAAAAACATCATAGTATAGTAAGGCATAAAATGTCATAAAAATGTCATTGTATAGTAAGGCATAAAAAGGTCATAGTATAGTAAGGCAAAAAATGTGAAAAAAATGTCATAGTATAGTATGGCATAAAAAGTCATAAAAACGTCACAGTATAGTAAGGCATAAAAAGTCGCAAAAATGTCAAAATATAGTAAGGCAAAAAATGTCATAAAAATGTCATAATATAATAAGGCAAAGAATGTCAGAAAAACGTCATAGTATAGTAAGGCAAAAAATGTGAAAAAATGTCATAGTATAGTATGGCATAAAATGTCATAAAAACGTCATAGTATCGTAAGGCAAAAAACATAATAAAAACTTCATATTATTTTTAAGCATAAAATGTCATAAAAACGTCATAGTATAGTAAGGCATGAACGTCATCAAAATGTCATAATATAATAAGGCAAAGAATGTCAGAAAAACATCATAGTATAGTAAGGCAAAAAATATGAAAAAAATGTCATAGTATAGTATGGCATGAAATGTCATAAAAACGTCATAGTATAGTAAGGCATAAAAAGTCGTAAAAATGTCATAATATAGTAAGGCAAAAAATGTCATTAAAATGTCATAATATAATAAGGCAAAGAATGTCAGAAAAACGTCATAGTATAGTAAGGCAAAAAATGTGAAAAAAATGTCATAGTATAGTATGGAATAAAATGTCATAAAAATGTCATAGTATAGTAAGGCATAAATGTCATCAAAATGTCATAATATAAGAAGGCAAAAAATGTCATTAAAACGTCACAGTATAGTAAGGCATAAAAAGTCGTAAAAATGTCATAATATAGTATGGCATAAAATGTCATAAAAACATCATAATATAATAAGGCATAAAAAGTCGTAAAAATGTCAAAATATAATAAGGCAAAGAATGTCAGAAAAACATCATAGTATAGTAAGGCATAAAATATGAAAAAAATGTCATAGTATTGTATGGCATAAAATGTCATAAAAACGTCATAGTATAGTAAGGCATAAAAAGTCGTAAAAATGTCATAGTATAGTATGGCATAAAATGTCATAAAAATTTCATAATATAATAAGGCAAAGAATGTCAGAAAAACGTCATAGTATAGTTAGGCATAAAAAAGTCATAGTATAGTAAGGCATAAAATGTCATAAAAATGTCATCGTATAGTAAGGCATAAAAAGTTGTGAAAATGTCATAGTATAGTACAGCAAAAAGTGTCAGAAAAATGTCATAGTATAGTAAGGCATAAAATATGAAAAAAATGTCATGGTATAGTATGGCATAAAATGTCATAAAAACGTCATAGTATAGTAAGGCATAAAAAGTCGTAAAAATGTCAGAGTATAGTAAGACATAAAATGTCATAAAAATGTCATAGTATAGTAAGGCAAAAAATGTTATAAAAACGTCATAGTATACTGAGGCAAAAAAAGTCGTAAAAATACCATAGTATAGTATGGCAAAAAATGTTATAAAAACGTCATAGTATAGTGAGGCATAAAAAGTCGTAAAAATGTCATAGTATAGTAAGGCATAAAATGTCATAAAAATGTCATAATATAATGAGGCAAAAAATGTTATAAAAACATCATAGTATAGTAAGACATAAAATGTCGTAAAAACATCATAGTATAGTAAGGCAAAAAATGTTATAAAAACGTCATAGTATAGTGAGGCATAAAAAGTCGTAAAAATGTCATAGTATAGTAAGGCATAAAATGTCATAAAAACGTCATAGTATAGTAAGGCATAAAAAGTCGTAAAAATGTCATAGTATAGGAAGACATAAAATGTCATAAAAACATCATAGTATAGTGAGGCATAAAAAGTCGTAAAAATGTCATAGTATAGTAAGGCACAAAAAAGGCAGGTATAGTAAGGCAAAAAATGTCAGAAAAATGTCATAATATAATAAGGCAAAAAAATGTCAGAAAAACGTCATAGTATAGTTAGGCATAAAATGTCATAGTATAGTAAGGCATAAAATGTCATAAAAAAATAAATAGTATAGTAAGGCATAAAAAGCCGTAAAAATGTCATAGTATAGTAAGGCAAAATGTGTCAGAAAAACGTCATAGTATAGTAAGGCATAAAAAGTCGTAAAAATGTCATAGTATAGTAAGACATAAAATGTCATAAAAACGTCATAGTGTAGTAAGGCAAAAAATGTTATAAAACCGTCATAGTATAGTTAGGCATAAAAAAGTCATAGTATAATAAGGCATAAAATGTCATAAAAAAGTCATCGTATAGTCAGGCATAAAAAGTTGTAAAAATGTCATAGTATAGTACGGCAAAAAGTGTCAGAAAAATGTCATAGTATAGTAAGGCATAAAATGTCATAAAAAAGTCATCGTATAGTCAGGCATAAAAAGTTGTAAAAATGTCATAGTATAGTACGGCAAAAAGTGTCAGACAAATGTCANTGAGGCAAAAAATTTTATAAAAACATCATAGTATAGTAAGGCATAAAAAGTCATAAAATTTTCATAGTATAGTAAGGCATAAAATGTCATAAAAACGTCATAGTATCGTAAGACATAAAATGTCATAAAAATGTCATAGTATAGTAAGGCAAAAAATGTTATAAAAACATCATAGTATAGTAAGGCATAAAATATGAAAAAAATGTCATAGTATTGTATGGCATAAAATGTCATAAAAACGTCATAGTATAGTAAGGCATAAAAAGCCGTAAAAATGTCATAGTATAGTAAGGCATAAAATGTCATAAAAATGTCATAATATAATGAGGCAAAAAATGTTATAAAAACGTCAAAGTATAGTAAGGCAAAAAATGTTATAAAAACGTCATAGTATAGTCAGGCATAAAATGTCGTAAAAATGTCATAGTATAGTATGGCATAAAATGTCATAAAAAGCCATAGTATAGTAAGGCATAAAAAGTCGTAAAAATGTCATAGTATAGTAAGACATAAAATGTCGTAAAAACGTCATAGTATAGTAAGGCAAAAAATGTTATAAAAACGTCATAGTATAGTAAGGCATAAAAAGTCGTAAAAATGTCATAGTATAGTATGGCATAAAATGTCATAAAAACGTCATAGTATCGTAAGGCAAAAAATGTTATAAAAACGTCATAGTATAGTAAGGCAAAAAATGTTATAAAAACATCATAGTATAGTGAGGCATAAAAAGTCGTAAAAATGTCATAGTATAGTATGGCATAAAATGTCATAAAAACGTCATAGTATAGTAAG